CACTGGACTAAAAGAAGAGATGGAAATGACTTTAAGGAGTAAGAACGTTGTTCTAGTTGCTAAAATAGATGCTTTCTCACAAGTTGAGGAAACATTAAGCTGGAAGGTTCATTTAAGGCCATTATTTTTGTATCTAGACATATTCGCATCATCTCTTGTAAATAGTTTGTTATGACCTATGCAAATAATTATTTTTTAAAATTTAATTTTCTTTTTAGAAATAGGATCTCACTGTGTTGCCCAGGCTGGTCTTGAACTTCTGATCTTCCAGCCTCAGCCTCTGGAGTAGCTCTGGGATTATAGGTGTTCACCACTACTCCCAACTCTATCTGAATGCTTCTTAAGAAATTTACTGGAGTATAGTGGAGTTTCTATTGTGTGAATTTGGGTAGGTTGTTTCAGCTCTTGTAATATCAGTTGGTCCAAAAATTGTAATTCAAATTCAGCTTAAACACCTGACTCACCAACTTAACCATTTATCTTCTCTTTAGTATTTATTAAATGTAAAAGAGAAGGGGTCATTGTCCCCTGAATTATAACTCCACATAAACCTAAAAATAGTAGCAAGTTTCATTTTGTAGCATTTTATCTACTTCTCTCTCTTTAATTGCTTGCATTGAAATGCTTCATTAGTCTTTAGAATTACATCTAGAGGGTCTAATAGATGGCATAATGATTATGTTGCTGGACTCGCAGACGTGGTGGCTTAAAACTCACGCCAGGCACATGTGTGTGTGTGCCCAAAATCTTGAGAGGAGAATGAAAAAGGGATTGTGGTGTGGCTACCCCCTACTGGGGTGTGATTCCTTGCTTTCTGTCACTCTTTCTTTCTGGTAAGTGTACACACCCTATAGCAAAAATCTCTCTTAAAAAAAGAATGACATCTAGATTTCTAATTATTTTTAAAAACATATTTATTTAATTTTATTATTATTTTTAAAAATTTAATTTGACTAGAGAGAGAAAGGGAAAGTGAGGAAGCAAGTCACCCAGTCTGGGACTTGAACTATGGTTGGCCATGTGGGAGTTTAACACCTAAACTACCATGCCACCTGCCAGTGCCTCTAATTCTTTTTATACATTTTCATTACTGTCTTTGTATTCTTTTCTAATTTCTCATGTTCTCTTCAATATTAGAGCTAAAAGTGAATAGATTAATTCTGAGAGAGTAACAATTATGATTATTTTTGGATAACTCTAGATAAACTTTTCTCTTTGTGCCATTTTACTGTGTGACCTTGAGGGAGACTTCTCTGAGTCTGTTTTTAGGATAGGAATCTAAAGGTGACCGTAAAAATAAATGAGAGTATATGACTGTCCTGTCCACCTGGTAATTCTCATCTGTGTCTCTTTTCTTCTTGCTCTGGTAACTGTATCTATTTGCACCTGTCCTTTGAAAATTTTTTTTCTTATTTTTATAATTTGCTAGAGGGTGTGTGCACTTTCCAGAGACAGAGAGAGACAGAAAGAGAGAGGGAGAGAGGGAAAGTGAGCAAGCACTCTCCAGGTTGGATAGCCAGGCTGCTATCCCTGTTGCATTCTCCTCTTGTGATTTTGGGTACACACATACACTCACCCAGCATGTTTTTCAAACTGATGGGTCAAGGACTGGAATAATGCAGTTAGCCACATGGTATCCAGCCACCTTAACACCATGCCTTCAACTCCCCCTGCACTTATCCTCCTTTGTATTCTCTTGATTTTTAACATGCCCATCAGGTCTAGATATTTTTTGTTGCACATATGTTTTAAAAAATATCAATTTATAAAAGAAAAATGGAAGTAAAGACACCAACCAGAGAATGGCCAATGTCTTGATCGCGCAGGGAACCTCGGCATCCTCTGGACCACACTAAGCAGAAGGGTCTCAGTACATCCTGGAAAACAGGTGGCTTCTGGCACCTGGAATTTAAATGATTATTTGTCTTCTCTTGACAACTGTCCTTCTCCTGTAAAACCGTCTCAGACTGCTACTGCACAAGTGTTAAACCATATCATCTCTGATTCAGAATTCTTCTTTGTAGACCCCCTAAAAGGATATGAGAAAAATACCAAATTGCTAAGAACATTAAACATTCTTCACTTTTACTTGTTTCTCAATTGTTCATTGTGTTGAAACTAGTCAATGGAATGTGTTCCTTCTAACACTCTTACCTGATCTTTGAAGGTCTTCTAATTAAGATAAACCAGTTTTGCCGTTTTCATTCCTTGAACTTTCTAAGAATAGAAGCAGCTAGTCATATTTTTGGAATTTACCTACATGACTTATATTCTCCAGCAATTGGTTTGGCACACCCCAGTTCCCAGCAGTCACTTTGACCAGTTTTTTGTTTGTTTGTTTGTTTTTTCTTCCCCATACCACAGGTCCAAGCCTCATTGTACAGATTAAAAAAGGAAGTCAGACAGAAACTTCTAGAAGTTCTAAGGGACTTAGAAGGAGACATAAGGACATCAACAGTTACTGAGAAAACAACCCCACTGCTGGGGCTGATGGCTTCTACCAATGCCATGGTACATGTTTCTCATTACATTGGCCTAGACACAGTACCTCCTCTTCACTCCAACCGTTTTCTCTCAGTCGTCTTAGAATGTCACATCTTTTGCTTGAGAGATCATTCCAATTCATCAAATAAACAAGAAACTGTTTAAAGCATATAATTATGAAAGCTTTCCTGCGCAAACTTTGTCCAGCAGTTCATCCAACACTATCTACCCAAAGTGATCTTGAAATCCAAATGCTTACTTCCTGCCTGGGAGGATGCAAAAAATGTATCAGCCAGAAGAAAAAATGTGAAATGCTGATAAAAATACGTATGTAAGTCCCTTTTCTATCATATTTCCTAGTAACTATTAATTATAGAGAGTAGCTCAGTTTTTATTAAATGGTTAAGGAAGTACTCATAAATCTATTGCCCGTTTTATTATAACAGTATTACCCTGTTTATATTGCAACGTACACTATTAAATATGTGTAATACACCAAGTAAAAGAACAGTTTTATACTTTTTCTTGCTTAAAACAATTTTTATTCTTGGTAAAAAAAATGCAGATACATTTTACATAACAAATCAATTTTTAGTCATCCTAAAGATTGATTTTCTTAAACTTAAGAGCATTTCATTTCAATGTTTCCTCATACAGAATAACCTTTAGTAGTACAGCATGATTTCCTTGGCAGTTTAATAATATAACAAAATTCATTTTGCGATAAGTTGGGTTTTAAGAAGTAAAGTTAAAATGCCTTGAGCGTCCGGAGTTTACCTTTGAACTTTGAATAGTTTTTACGATTCATTTAGATCTATGCATAAACACAAGCCCAAACCAACAAGCTGTGCTCTGGAGTCCAGAGCAAGTTTCTGCTGAGAAGCAAAAGGTGGCAATGCTAACAGCCATGTAGCCTTCTCAGCACTCAGTTCTCCCAGGTCTTTCCCTCAAGATGGGCACATGGAAAGTCTTGCTGCAGCTGCAGCCTTGTCTGAGAGAGCACAGGCTGCTTGCCCTTCTTGGGCTGTCCCAGCACATGCCTTCTTGGTAGTCATGGTGTCAGAGAGAAGGAAGAGCAGAAGGGATAGGGACGAACAGGGTGTCTCTTCCCCTGGCCAACCAGGTATCCTTTGGACCACACCCTTCTAGGCAATCCATCTGGAAAACAACCTTAGGTTTTGCACATGGGAACAAAACAAAGGACAAAAATAAACTCTATATTTTATGTACAATTAGAAACCACAGAGCTGGACGATGACTTTGTAAAGTCTCAGCTAAGACAATGATGTCATTAAGCAGGTGAGGTAGGGTGCTCTCTTTAGGCTAAAGGGCGAATATCTTGCACGACCAGAAATGACTTGAAGAACTGCATTACCATCATGGGAACGTGCATATAATAAAATATACTGAACTAAAACTAACCTAACATTATTACACTGAAGCATTACATTGCTGTAGTTATTTAGTTTAGATGTGAAGCTTAAAAAACGTTTACTGATAATCCCATTTCCACATCCCTTTTTGACTTGAAAGATATTTCATCAACTATTTTCCTGAAAGGTTGCTTATAATACATATTCACAAATTTCATCAAGCATTACTCTAGACAATAGCTGCTTTTTGCTTATGAGAAAAACCACAAAGGCTGCAGACATTGTTAACACACAATAAACGTCATCGCATGCCATAGGTAAGCTATAACCACCCACTGACATTTAAAAGTAAGGAGCTATTTTCAGAGACTTAACACAGGAATTGGTACAGGGAGGTGTGTAAGAAAGTTCAATATTATAGTATTTTCTCTGGATAAATTCAGGGTGATTAAGACATAAAAATATTTACATCATACTAAACTATCTTGTTCTGCGATATTTCCATTTTAGAATTATCTTATGGTGAGACTACGTGAAATACAGACATAGCAAGTTTAATGCATAAGCCCATAGCCCTTAGCTTAAACAAAAGTTACATTGTGGTCTCCCAGCACCAAGAAGATGGGAAAAAAAAAAATAGTTGCAATTCTCTCCCTGTTTCCAAGCAACTCCAAATGCCTTAGCATATTCCTTATGATTCTTATATTATTAATGATATAAGCAAAGGTGACAGAGACAAGAACATGTGCTCTTGACTCCAAGGGTATGTGTGTGTGTGTGTGTGTGTCTTTGCCATAGGGTGTATGTGATTGTCAGAGAGAGATGGGGAGGGTGTGTGTGTGAGAAGTCATCCCCTGGGGGGATGGTGGTTCCAGGACTCAAACCAAGGTCAGTCCTGTGGGAATCCAGCACCTTACCCACCCTGCCACCTGCTGGCATGACTCTAAGTGTTTTATCCACTAAATCACATTGCATTTCAAAGTGAGAAACACCTTCTTTTGGCACTGGAAACATAGTTTAAAAGTGTTTGGGTAACTTTCCCACCAAGTATGCTTCTAAGACTTTTTTGGGAAGACATTAACATTTACTGCAATTTGAATAATATTTGAGCATTAGGAGTAAGAATAAATCTAGTTTGGGGTTATGGACTAGAAAAGTTAAATTACAATCATGGTCATTTTATGAAAATAAGCTGAGTAATAAGTGCCAAATTCATCCCATACGATGAGCTTTGCTATGGTATTTTCAAGAATTTGGCCTAAATATCCAGTTTCAGAAAATGCATTATTTCATTCGGATCATATCAGACGGGAACAAGGATCTTCTGTACAGAGCATAGTACGTGACCCTCGTATTTCCACTGGACAAGTTAAATTGCTAGAAACATTGGTAACGGGACAGATGACCCTTTCGGTCACTGTTACGTTTTGGGTGAGAAGTGGATCAAACACCATAGTGGAAGGTTGCCTGAGGGAACCAGAGGTCGAGTAAGTCTCGGTTAGTAAGTAGCTGCCATGCTGCAGGGGGTCAGGGATGGGAATGGCGGGTTGCACACACACAGAAGCGTGCACAGCAGAAGCGCCTTGCCTGCCTGACAAAGTCTGGCACTGAGCAGACCCTGACTGTGGGACTTTGACGGCCAGGCCACAGGAGTCAACCCCAGAGCCGCTGTCTTTAGCGGATGACTGAGCTTGTTTGGATTCGTCATCAAGACCAAGGGTTATCTCTGCAAGCTTTTTAAATTTGGGGCCAAGGGAGTCTAGGAAGTGATCATCGATGTCATCCTCGGGGAGAAGACTGCAACAACTCAGGGAGTCGATGGGAGGACGGGGGATATCCGCGCCTTCGTCGTCATAGATCAATAGGCAGTCATTCGTGTCCCGGACCTCCTCTTCCTCTGCACAGGCAGACGCTTTCTAAAGATGGAGAAAAATTGAAAAAGTACATTTTAAGAGAGATTCAATTGTGCAATATAATATTGTTCATCGAGCTGAAGGTTTGATTATGAACATCCAGATTAGGTAAACCATAGAAGTAAGGTTGTACTCTCTATACTAAAAACCTTGCTCTAAAAATGACATGTTTGGATGATAGCAGGCATTCCCTCAAAATCGAGTCTAGCCTAGGTTCAAGTTTTAGGTTTTTATTTTGGAGACACTTATGTGAATTTAGGTCCATGTCGCAAATGTGTATCCTGCCTGGAGGTTATTCACTGGGCTAAGTGTGAGAGTCTCTGTGTATGTTCGTGTTAATTAATGCATGGCTTTGTCTCTGGGGTGGTTCTGGGGGCGCTATCCCACTATGCACGGTCTCAGACAGCTCTCACTCTGACCTTCAGTCTTCTCCCTTCTTCCCCCTTTTATTTTTGGGTCATTAATTTGGTGGTCCTTCAGCTCTTTTGAATATGGACTCCTCTGAAAATGTGAAGAATACTATGTGAAGAATCCTCTCTCAGAAAAACAGGCACACATGCCTTGACATCCTTTATGGCACAGGAAATACAAAATAAAGTGCTTTGTATTCTTAAAGAAGGCGTTGCTGTTTCCAAAAGACAAAATAATTTGCTCTTAGTGGTTTTTCCAGTTGGAGGGGTAGGATGCTTTTTGCTATATATAGACTGTCACTTTAT